TACGTTCCCTGTAAAATATCGATCTGCTTTGTGAAGACTGATAATTCTGTGTAGAATCACTTATTAGAAGGCCAAGACTCAGAAGGAAAACTAAATACTGTGCATTAAACTTAACTCTGTATGAAAATGTTTCTATCTAGCCTCGTCACACACGCATGCCTGTATAATCTTTGGGTATATATATATTTATATATATATATATATATATTAAATATATAGTAAACTAGCAGGAGAGCCTGGCGTTGCCCGGGGATGTAACAGTAAGAGATAGATAAAGTATCGACCATCATAAAGACTGAAAAATAAAATTGACAAAGATTATTGTTTAAGGTTGACGGACACGCATGTCTTAATTATTATTTTTTTTTTTTTTACGAATTGGTCAAACCCAAACACAAACAAAAACATTGTTTTCAATCGTTATGAGTCTACCGATTGAATAGAATGTTATTATAAACAATTGTCTTGTAAATGGAATTTTTAAAGCATTCTGAATGTAAAAATAAAGAAAAAAGTCTGCAAGGCAATAAGAAACACTACCTGCCAAAAAAAAAAAAAATGAAGTTTTGTTGAAATCAGGTTGAAAAATGTAGGAAATCCGATCCCATATATAAACGAACACACACACACACACACACACACACACACACACACACACACACACACACACACACACACACAACCTGGGTTTTATAATAAGTATAACTCGATGTGAGTTGTCCCCCTTTCATTCTGGCGACAGAATCGTGTTTTATCGTGTTTTCAAATTGATTTCGTGCAAAAGCAATGGTGTTTTCCCAATTTTTAGCGCTGTCAGAACCACTGCAAGTTAATTTTACGCAGTGCTGTGAAGTTTTGTTGAAATCGGTTGAAAAATGTAGGAAATCCGATCCAATATATAAAAGTACACACACACACACACACACACACACACACACACACACACACACAATCTACATTTTATAAGTAAGATGTAATAAATCCGTTGGCATATAATCCAAGTGGATCCTAGTAATATAAAATATTACAAACAGATCCACAAAACGAACTTTCTTTATTTATTATTACACAGCAAAAATTGATACAAAATTAAATGCAAAATCACCTAATATGGGGAATAAGCTTATTTCGACCGACGAAAATATAATTCATCTATCTTATTCAACCCCAGTATAGACTTAGTTCGTGTCTGAAATAGAAATTTAACTGTGAAAGCTATAAAAAAAATAAAATAACATAAAATAACACATCGAAAACTAATACAGGATTTATCCATTTTAATGTTTCAGTCAGACGAAAGGCATGGGAGTGGTCAGGGGAGGGTGGAAGGTATTTGTCTTAAAAACCTTTCAAATATATATAGATAATGTTATATTTAATAATACAAAGTCATATTACAAAGACAATTTATATTTAAAAATAAGATATAATTAAATAAGTTATAATTAATAAAAAATAAATAGGTTACATTTAAAAACGAAATACATTTAAAAATAAATATATAATAAGATTATATATATATATATATATATATATATATATATATATATATATATATATATATATATATATGCGTGCGAGTGTGTGTATTAAGATTATAGTTTTAAGTTATGCTATATTTATGGGTAAAAGTGCTCAATATCAGTATCGTATTGGGTGTAGGACGACTCAACACCGCCAACTCAAAACGATTGTCTCAACTCCATGACCACTTCAGGACAGCTCACACACCAGCCTATTCAGCGCGAGGATAACTCAACAACATGTAAACGATGAACTTTAAAAAAACAACAAATAAAAGTATTTTATTAAATATTTTTAAAACATAACTATTTAAAATTAAATAAAATAATTTATCGAGGGTCATTGTTCAATATATGTATTTATTACAGTCTATCTATTGCTGATACATGCTTATACGTTTATTTATTGGTGTATTGCTTTTATCTACACACCTACGATTTATAACCGTCTTAACAGCCCAGGATGTACCCTGGTTATTCTAGGCAATGTTACTTTGTATATGACGCATAAGTTATTAGGTTGGTGCAAAAATAATGTCGTTTTTTGATGTTAAGTTGAACGTCAAAAAACGACATTATTTTTGCACCAATGTAATAATTGATTGATTCGTTTCCTACGGCTTATTAACGTAGTTTATTTAAAGCAGAAAATACTTAAAATTTGTAAGAATTTTGAAAGCGAGATAATAATGGTTTAGTGATACAAATCTTACTAATTAACCCATGGCTGGGGACATTATGAGGTGGATTCTTACCTTTCCCAGGAGTATTTATGCGTGAGAGAATATAACAAATTCAACGGGAATTAGAACTCGGTTTTAGCTTTTAACAATTTCGAGCCATTATCCATTAAACCACAGGCACATCCAAACTTACAACACCTGTTATTCCCAAGCGGTCACCTATCTAGATATGACTAGGCTCGATGTTGCTTAACTTCGGTGATCTTACGGGAACCGGTGTTTCTAGGTGATATGCCCTATGGTTATTTTATATATGGAATATAAGTTGGGTTAGGTTAGCTTATACCGTCTTCTTCTTCTTCTTAGTGCTCTGTCCATTCAAGATATTTCCTCTATAACTTCCTGGCCTTTGTAGCTCTTAATATTTTTTAGTTGCTATATTCTATAATCCCTATTAACAAGCTGTTATACAGTAGTTTCACAGTTGAGGCTTGTATTTCACTAAGTCGGTCCTAAAAAGGTTCGACGTACAAAACGTTAGGAACTTGATATAATAGTTAATGACGCAGGAATCTATTTGTGGTGGCTGATACTTTTAGTATCCGACTAACAGTCGTCCGACATCGACTGACTGACCAACTCACGGATCTCCTTAGCGACTGCTACTACTCCTACTTTTTACAGGTGGGAGAGTCTATTAACAATAGAATAGGTATGTTCCAGTATAACACAAGCTCATTTGATAAGTTATCAGCCGCTTTCCTCAGTCTCTCTTGCCTTCATTATGCCCTCTGGGCAATAGATTTTTTAAGTCCTCTTTACTCATTATGTACCCTAGAAATTACCACTAATTTTTTTTTATTCTCAATATGTATCATTTTCGTTTCCGTTTTTCTTAAACCCTTCCTCGTTGCTCACATGTTCAGTTCATCGTATTCTCAGTATCCTTCTGTAGAACAGTATTTCTTTTTAAAATGTTGTAGGCTAGTATATATCGTCCTTACACCCTGCTTTTTTCATATAATAAAATGTATATTGTATCTCTATTAGAAAATCAGTGCTATTAAGCATCATGTAGTTTTATACGTTCACAGATTTCTCGTGTGCATCCATCAGCCCCTAAATGGCCGAAAATAGAAATTCTTTAAAAGTTTTTGCCTGCCAATCATGATATAGAAATTTATATGAGAATATCATATTAGGATTAGCTCTCTGCCTGTCAAGGCTATGAAATATTTTTTTTTACTCTAGTGTACTTTGTTTACCAACAGCTGTATGGATTGAACAAATCTGGCATCTCGTTTACAGTCGCTCTCTCACAGACGCGCCGTCGCCTCTCTCTGTCTTTTCTACAAATACTTTCATGGTAATTTCTCCGATGAGCTGCTTTCACTGGTTCCCAGACATCATGAGTTCAAGCGCCCTACGAGACTGACATCCCGCTCTAACCCTTTCACTGTAGAAACTTTTAAATGTAGCTGTCTCTTCTACTCCAATAGCTTCATACCTCGCACCTCTCACCTGTGGAACACCCTTCCCAATTACTGTTTCCCTGAGAGCTATAATCTCAACTATTTAAATGTAATGGCAATCGACATGTCCAGTTACCTTGATCTATCCACTATCCGTCTCCTCATCCTTTCTTCTATCACTCCTATCTGCTCTCGCTCCAAATCTTCTGCAACGCCCTGCATCCTAGTGGCTTCATGCCTTGCTCGGGGCGTAATGCTTAAAAAAAAGTTTAAAAGTATAGATACCTGATTACCGTTGAATGTGTTCTTATAAACCATCATTTGGGGATATCGGCATTGTGTAATGGTTAGGAACCTTGTCTCGATAAAAAAAATTACGACTGAGAATGAGTTCGATCATCACTGAGTACCCCATACTTTTAACCTTGGGCCATATTAAGTCATGTTTAGTAAAACACCACTGGACACTTCAACGTGGTGTAATGGTGAGGAATCTGCCTCACTAGATCAATTACGACTAAATAGTGAGTTCGATCATCACTAGGGGCCCCACACGTTCGGCCTTTTGCCGCATCTAAATTACGATTTAAAAAACAAAAAAAAAACAGGCCTTGTTTTACATCTAAGCTACGCTTAAAAAACACCATATAAAACATCATGAAGAGTTTTTACACTTGAACAATCAAATATTCTATTTAAGTAAAAAAGCCGTTGGTCCATATAGTAAAAATCAGGATGAACTGGATAGGTGACAGTATAGTTTAGATTAGACTATTTTATACCACATATTTTTAAAGTAAGCTAGACCCTATCTTACAAGGGAGTTCATTCTGGACTAGGTTGCATATCGTGCGACAAGTTTAATCTTGGTGGATTCAGTAGATTAACATTCGCCCTTAGAATGAGATAAATGAAAATAAAACTAATGCAACTTACGCGTTGGAATATAGTGGATCGCTGGTCGGTATACACAGAAGATGTAACTCTTTCACAGCAACTTTATAATCATGTGATGGATTCTCACGTCCTCTCCTTGAAAAAAGCTCGGTTTAAATCGAGTCATCTTGAGATCCTCTCGTATTAATAAATGCTGTAAAGTATTAATTATCTGCAATGATATTCAGCCCCGGTGTATAATTAAAAGTGATTTGTCCTTGAAAAAAGCTTTAACTTAAAACAACAGCTTTTGACCGTCAGTCTCAGTTCTGTCTTTCTGTCGCTCCCAATCTAACCTGTTTCCATATATATATATATATATATATATATATATATATATATATATATATATATATATATATATATATATACATGAATCATTCATACAAAAAACAAATATAGAGGTTAATGATTTAAATGGTGAGAATACATCTTCGCAAACAATTTCAATAAGTTACACTAACCCCAAACCTGTATATGAATGATATGATCCCTGTTTATAAATTCCAGTTTCATAAGGTCTTTTTTAGTTTAGTCTGTTCCTATAGGCATCCTCAGGTATGGAAATAGATTTGTTCTTGTTTTTTACATCTCGGTAATAACAGGACAACGAAAATAGAGATGTAATCCGAATTTTCTATGCAATGCTCGGGGCCACTCGAGGTTAAATTAGGAGGCAATTTGTATGCATAGGAGGAGAAAAGGGTTAATCCTAATCTTGAACAGATTAAGATTGTAGTAGAAACGTCCTCTTGGGCGTCGGTTCCATAATGCAGTGCTTGGCGGGAATAAGCTGTTCGAGTGGAACTTACTTCTAACCGATGGAATGCGGAGGGAATATGTGTTGTTTGCTACAATGTAAGCGGCATGGCGGGTTTGCTCAGCATTTCCCTCCTAATCAGTTTACGTTCCTTAAAGATCCATATTTCTTTCACTGCCATAACGCAGTCGATTTGAAGTTGAGTTAAGCTTCTTGAAATTCGAGTGGTCTTCATATATAAAATGTACAAGCCAGTGCATCTATTCTATCTTTATTGTCGAACTTGTTTGGATTTCCTCTTTTGTGCCCGACTGACCACTGACATTCTAACGACAGAATTATTGGCCTGAATCCTACATCGAGTCAACTTTTCCTCCATTTTCTACATTTTACTAATTGAATTTTATTTTATTGTGTTTATTGTCATCCAAATATTAAAATTAACATGAAATATCACCTGAATTCTTCCAAGAACAAAACATTTTAGCCAAGTGAATTGTTCGTCCGAAGGGAGCAGCATCTCGAAATTGGGTTGTCTCTCTCTTCAACCGCCGAAGGAGGAGAGATTTTTCGGTGATACTTGCTCTCATTCTTTCTTTCTTTCTTTCTTTCTTTATTTCTTTCTACTGTTTTTATTGTAAGTTGTTTTGTTTCTAGTGTTTTGTTTCAATTTAATTTACTTATGAGGTTTAAACAGTCTTGGGAAGAGTTTTGATGTCTACATCTCTCTGTCTCTCATGGGTGGTTTCTTGAAAAAAATTTTAAAAAAGTATTGAAGATTTTATAAGTCAAACAAATGCAAATTTGGAATTTTGTCCAAGATCCGACGTATTATAGTACCAACTTGTTTATCCTGACTGTCATCTATCCAGCGCTGATTTGGTATGAGGGTTTGGTACTGCTCGATCTTTAAAACCTTTGAATTCACGAATTAAAACTCAAACAATACCAGACGTTAATCACGTTTTCTGTAATTAAATGGCTTTGTCATGAATATTTTAAAACTTATTACCATGTCCATAAGCGATAATTCCCTCAAATTCGTCCTCAGTTTACTCGATTAGCGCCTATCTTACTTTTTAATGGAAAGTCTTTTGTCTATTTCTCTTGGGTTTTTAATACTACAATTCATTATAAAATGCAAAATATTTGAAACTCTTCTTTTTTTGTGGGACTTATATTGAACCATCGGTTCTTGTCCGATCATTGAAGTTAAGCAATATCTAACTTGGTCTATACCTAGATGGGTGACCGGTTCTAAATACCAGTAAGTTTGGATGTACTGGTGGTGTAACGGATAACGGCTCGGAACGAGAACTCTGAAAGCCGAGTTCAAATTCCAGTCGAATGGCCTGGGGAAACATGAATCCACCACTTCTCTGTTTGTTATGGGCGAAATACCAGAGGGATCTATGTGAAAAAAATTATTATCTCCAAAAAGATTGTTCATGAAATATTGACTCGCATAATATCTTCCTCTTCCTCCTGATCTTCTTGTATGCGCCATATTCCTTCTGGACGTATGCGATCATGTCTCACCACAATTACCTGTCCTTTTTAGATCTTAATACATTTTGTCTTTTTAAAATCTCTCCTAAACCCTGTTCTGTCCTCCATTTACACAAGCTCGCTAAGTCTGTTATACGTCGTCTGTTAAACGTCTCCCTAGATATTTAAATTTTTGTCCTGTTTGATTTTAGTATATTCAATATCTAATTTGCACGTCGAGCTGTTCATTTCGCTTACAACCATATATTCCGTCTTCTTGCAATGGATGCTTAGACCTTTCTTTTCGCTTTCCTTTACTACTTTCAGTAAGAGTGCCTGTAGTTGTCTTTCCCTAACTCATGTCAACAGTGTCCTCTGCATATCTCATATTGTTAAGATCGTGGCAGTCAATAATGAATCCTGGGAGGACTTTTCAGAATTGGCTTACTGTATTAAGTTGAATAAGACATATGCCAAGGCACATCCTTGTTCAAATAAGGAATCCTGGTAGGACTAATTCTCTTATTATTATCTCATGATATAGGTTGAATAAGTCTGGTGAGAAGACACCCAATTGTCTGTCACCAATTCCTATTTTTGTATATTTACTAAATTCAGATGGTTTTCTGCTAGTATAG